TCAGAGCCTTTGTAATTGGTCTGGATTTCAATTCTGTGTTAATTTCCGAGATTAACCATTAACGAGATAAATTATCCCTAATCATGTACAGTGTTAATTGTTCCTTGGTTCGGCCTGCAAACCTTCTGGGGCAGGGACCACGTCACCTGTAACGCACTGTGCAAATCACAGTGCAACATGGATGTTAAATAATGCATTAAAATGGGGTGCCGAGGGTGGAATTGCCTCCGCTGCCTCTTATCAGGGCAACACCACTCAACATAATATCTCTAAAAATAACGAGATGTCCTGTGGCACCTTAGATACTAACCAAAATGTATAGACTCATGTGCCTTCGTGGGCAGTTCATCTAAGGAAGTGGGTTTTGCCCAGGAAAGCTCATGATTCTGTCTATTTTGGTTAGTCTCTCAGTGTGCATCTACACTGCAGCGCTAGCTCGAAATAAGCTACACAATTTGTGCTACGCAAATTGCATACTGTATTTTGAGCTTATTTCGAAATGGAGCGCTATGCCAACAAGTCCCTTAATCCTCGTGGAACGAGCGTTACTGGGACGAAATAGCGTGCCCTTTATTTTGATTACATTCCGAAATAACAGGCGCATTGTCAAGACGCAGAAAATACTATTTGGGATACCGGAAATATCCCAAAATAGCACTGCAGTGAAGATGTACCCTAAGGTGCCAGAGGACCACTAGTTTTTTAAAGTTACAGACTAACATATTGTGCCCATCTATAAAAAGGGGAATAAGAACAACCCAGGAAACTACAGACCGGTCAGTTTAACGTCTGTCCCAGGGAAGATAATGGAGCAGGTAATTAAGGAAATCATATGCAAACACTTGGAAGGTAATAAAGTGATAGGGAATAGCCAGCATGGGTTTATGAAGAACAAGTCATGCCAAACTAATCTGATACCTTTCTTTGATAAGATAACGAGCCTTGTGGATAAGGGAGAAGCGGTGGATGTCATATACCTAGACTTTAGTAAGGCATTTGATACGGTCTCGCATGATATTCTTATTGATAAACTAGGCAAATATAACTTAGATAGGGCCACAATAAGATGGGTGCATAATTGGCTGGATAACCATAGTCAGAGAGTTGTTGTTAACCTCTAAAAATTTGAAATGTAGGTCAGACCCCTTTGGAAATCTTAGATGTACTCTGTGGACCCCCATGTTGTCCACAGATCACAGTTGAAAAATCACTGTTCTATGGCAACAATGACCTTTTACAGACCCTCATGGACATAGTCTGTGGACGACATGGGTCCACAGGCCTGAAATTGAAAAACACTGGCCTGCACCATTAATGACCCAAGGGAGCCTTATTCTTGAACCTCATTGAAATTTCTTTACATAGTTAAAGAATCTATACTATAAATATTACTGCATCAGAAATAATTTCTGGTAAGTCTTTAAAGTCATTGAGCCAAATTGACTTTAGATACTTGCACACAGCACACTGAATTCAGTGAGAGTTGTACTTGTTAATGTGAAAGCAGGATTTGGACTTTCCTCTTGCGGTATCTATGAGACAATGTATGTGTGCCTGTATCTATAGTGTAGACGCTAAATTCCTTGTATCTTTGTAAAGTAGCCACACTATAAAGCCCTGTATAGACAAAGTGAAAACTGTAGTAGGATACTATGAAGCAACTCCATGGAATATTTGCAATTTCGTAAAAGAAAGGATTTAATGTTCTCCCTTCATTGCTGTACTTTGTAAATTAAATAATCTGGTAATATAAAAATGTATATAGGTACTAGTTCTAGTTATATCTGAGACTAAAAAGCCATTGAAAGTTGTGTTGTGAATGTAATACTATAACCATTTTGAAAGTCTCAGAGAGGTAGCCATGTTAATCTGTAACTAACAAAATTTTAAAAACAACAATGGTCCTGTAGCACCTTAGAGATCCACATGGGTGGATCCTTACAGCTGCTCACAACCCAGCTAAAGTGAAATGTGGGTTCTTCTGCCCACAGATAATATGGCAGGGCTAAGCTGTTAGTGGACTGAGGGCAGATCTACACTGAACCTGGAAGGAAGGCTTAAGGTACACAACTGCAGCTACGCAAAATGCATACTTGGAGTAATCTTACCTTAAGATGAGCCGTGGTGGCGTCCACACTGAGGGAGGCTGACAGGAGCAAAAGCCTCCCATCAGCTTCCCTTACTCCTCACAAAGAGAGGAGCGCTGAACACTGGCAGGAACTGCCTTTAGCATTCGATTTACGGGTGTATACTAGACCCGCTAAATTAAACTGCCAGAGTGTCAATCTTCCAGTAAAAATAGACATACCCTGAATTTCAAGCTACCTCTAATCTAGCCCCAATTCTGCCCTTGAATTACTCAGTAATTAGGATGCAAATCATTAACCACTCTGTATGAAATCTTGCCCCATTCCAATCTGCTGGACTTTTCCAATGGAAAATAACATAATATCTCTATGTAATGTCCCATCTCTGCTTTAGGTGGAGGACTGGGGGAATAAGGATTCCGGAGTTCTGTTCCTCTGCCATTGACTCACTTTGTGACCTTTGGTAAATCACTTCATTTTTCTGTGCATCCGTTTTCTCCATCTGCAAAATGGAGATAAAGATGCAGTATTTGTAAAGCACTCAGAGATCCTATTTTAATGCCATGTAGAAGGGCAAAGTATCATTATTTAAAGGTCCATGTTTGTGAGCTGATTATTTCAGTATGGTGTCAGTGTCAGTGATACATGGCACCTCTAGGTACTCTAGTAGCTGCATGTTGTATATTTCACAGGCGATCAAGTGATTAAGCTTTGACTGATACATGCTTTCTTCACTTACTGCCAGCATTCTCCATCTTCCAGTGTTATGTTTCTATAGGAACTCCCAGCAACGCCTGCTGCAAGATGCTATCAGCTAGTCTCAGGCTGGGCACAGCAGGCCCAAATTCAGCAGTGGTGTTGCATCTGTTTACACTGGGAGCTGTATTTGGTCCTAGTTTCCTCCTTCTCCATCCCATTGCTCCCCTTCAGGTCCCCGTTTTCTTCCTAACCCTCTACCCGAGGGCAGCCACTGATGCAGATTTGTAGTGATCCCATCCGAGCGTCTTTTACATTGTCACAAATGAATAACTCTAATGATAGATCACACCTGACTATACTGACCCTGATAATATGACCAGAGCCTGAAGGGTCATAACGGAGTCACCCCATTTGTACTGACTTTTTACCCATGTAGAAAAAAAAATCTTTAATGTTCCCTTCCTTCCTGTAAAGCACCACAGCCGGTTATTGACGGTTTAATTATATGCTAGATGTTTGTTTGTTTGTTTATAGAAGAAGTGTGATTCATGGTTGCTGTGACTGCCAATGGAACAGGAAGGGGTTAACAGCCTAAAATTACATCAGCCAGGCTGGAGAACAATAAACAGGAAGTACTCCAGAAATTAAAATTAAACATTTGTGACTAATGTTGACTTTTACTCTATGGTCAGTCCAGAAGGCATGGCTGGCAGTCTAGGTTTATTACTGGTTGCTAATTATACAGTTGGTTTGACTCTGATTGGCTGAAATGAAGCAAAGAAGGAATTGGGTCATTGGATGATCTTGTGTTTGCTATCATTCTCTCAGATTATACATTGCTCCATATTAAGTGTTGTCTTATATGGTGTGATATTTGTGGAGTGAAGTCTCTACCAGGGTTTTTAATCCTAAAAGCTAGTTGTTTGTATAGAAGAGATTTTACGAAACCGACAGGGTAATAAAAATGTTTTCAGGGTTAAAATTAATCATTGGAAACCATGTGGTTGTTTCAATTAAAGCTTTCCTCAACAACCTTTGCAACCATCCATGGGAATCTGTAAGTGAAACTGATTGGAGACGACTGTGAAACTGACTAGCCATTTTCACTCTGCAGTACTGACAGAAATAAACAGGCTAAGAGGAACTAAATTCTATTTTTTTTTAATCAGTTTTAGGGATAATGTGAAACTGTGTGTAAAGTATTGGCACAGGACCACTAGAGGACTTTTGCACCACCTGTTTTGCCTCTGGTACAGAACATAGTTTGAGACAGCATATCATACTAGATGAGCCATGATCTAGTTCGGACAATCTTGGAGAAGGCTATTCCTTTATTTAAAAATATGGAACTCAATTCTCCTCTGAATTACAAAGGCTCTAAACTGGCTTTATGGACCATGAATTTTAACCAAAGTAAATAAGCCTCATACATTGAAGGTAATGGTGAATTATTGTTTTTATTACTATGGTTATTAAGTGAAGAAACTCAATTATTTTCATTGCTTTGTTGTAGTCTTAGCCATGATCTGACCAAGTCAAAAATGGATACATAGCGAGGAGCACTCTTCACCTTCCAACTAGCTGATGTAAGGGGAGAAAATAGCTCACCCAGATTGTACTCACAACCATATTAAGGTTTTTAAGAATGAAGGCGGTTTAGCTGGCAGGTGAACCATCCCTGCAGCTGTTGTAAGAAAAATCCTTTGAAGCAGCTCAAAACTCCAGACACTTGGGTGGTAGTTTTTGGGAATTCTCTCCCCACCCCTCGGTCTTTTTAATGTTCTTTTTGTCGATATTTGCAGTAGTTGATACCTTCCTCCCCACCTCCACCTCCCCTTTCAGATTTGGCACGATCTTCAGACCTTTGTTCAGCCAGGGCGTGCCTTGAACCTCTGGAGCCCTTAGCTGTGTTACTAGGATGCTGAGCGGAGGAGGAGAAGGGGGATTTCACTGCTGCAGACCCAGCTGGCAGTGCTGTTTTGGGGGGAGCACAGATACCAGTGTTGAAGCCGACTTAAAAGGCAGAGGGACTTTATCTTGACTGTCGTACTGGGATCTGGGGTGGTGTTCCACTGAAACTGCCAATCTTCTTCCATCCAAAAATCCTCCTCCGAGACAGAGCTTGGGGAACGTGTTTCTTGACATTGTTGCATGTGAGGCCAGCTATTCTTGTTCGCTGACATGTTCCTTATCTCTCCCTCCTCCCTTTTCCAGGATTCCGTTCAAGATTGGGCAGCCCAAGAAACAGATTGTACCCAAGACAGTGAGTAAACCAATTCCCTCTTTTTAGATCCAGTCTGTGATCATGTGGCTGATGAGTCAAGCCAGCACTTTGACTCGTCCCATTTTTGTGTGTGTGTATGTATGTGTGGGAGGGGAGTGTGAGTGAGCAGAACCTGTTGCTGTCTTTGACCATCATATCCTGGTGCGGTGGGTGAGGGGGAGTCCCAGCTACATGCAGTATTTTGGTCTCAGGATTTGTTTTTTAAGGGAGGGGGCTCTTTGATTCTGGCACAGTTTTCCTGGGAGATGGCTGAACATGCTTCCTTCCTTCCTTCTTTCAGCAATGGCTTGTTTGTTCATCCTTTCTGAGCAGATGGAGGAGGAGGAGTGGTTCAGATCGCTGAATATAACTGTTTCCAAAGGAAAGCTTATCAGAGGAGGCTGAGATGCCTAGTGCTCCGGCATGAATTAATTTGTGCTGCACAGCATTTGCTTGAAAAGAAAATTCAAAAAGCAGTTTGCAGTCTGATGCATTTGAGAGTCCTTTCCCTCGTCCTGTTGCTTGCAGCTGGCTGTGGTATTTTCCCTGCTTAAGCAGATGGTCCTTGTCCTGCGAAAGATGTAGTGCTCGCAGTCGCAATCCCTGTATTAACCTGCCTACCTGCTTTAAAAGACGGGTCTTGATCGCTAGTGTGACAGAGACCTCGGCTTTAGAATGATAACTGCATTGGTGAAGTAATCCCCAATGCAGACGAACATTCCTGACCCTTCCTCTCTAGGACACCCACCTCTTCTAATTCCTTCGCATGTGGGGGTTACTTGTAGCACGGTGTCCGAGATGGTCTTTGGGGTGTGAAGTTTCCCGTTGAGATGGAGGGTTCGCTCTGCCGCTTCCCAATATTGATGAATTGTAATCGTTTATTTAAAGCTGGTATCGTTGTGTGGTGCTGCAGGATGGCTGTGTTCTGCTCCTGCTGCAGACGGACAGTGCACAATCTGAGCAGGAAACCCGTTTAAAGAAGGGCAATATTGAAATCCTAATCTGGGCCTTTGACTGACTCCTTTTCACTGCTCCGTGGTCTTCCCAAGTTCTAATGCTCCCAACGTCACATGCTCAATGCTGCTCTCTGCAAAGAAATACAGCCCCCAGCCTCAGGAAAATCCTCTAGATCCCTGTTTATTTCAAGAGACAGTTCAAAATTACTCTCTTTTTTTTTTTTAAGTCCCTCTATTGGATCCCAGAGATCTTGACCCTCTCGCTTCCTTGCTTGCGCCATCCGACTGTCTAGCCCTGGTTTTCTCCTCTGCTAGAGCATTCGTCTCTGTGGCTTCTGGTGACTTGAACAGTGTGTGTGCACATTTCCGCCCCATCTGATTGTGTCTCCCATACGAGTGCATATTCTTTGCACCTTTTAATTTCCCTTTCCCTCTGCCGCAATGTGGTGTTTAACTATATAAAGTGTTTCAAGATACAGTTTGTCTACACACAACTATATTGCTATGTATACGGACGTACACCAAGGTCTCCATTTTCACCTCTGAAGCTAACCCACCTGATGGTGTAGCAGGAGCTCAGAAGGACTGAGAGTTCATATTTGAACTAGAGATATAAAATCCTGTTTAATTGTTTAACCAGTTAACGATTGGGGGAGGGGGACAGGTGGGAGGGGCTGCTCGATCCTGGCTGGACTGGAGCAGCCCCCCTGCACTTCATGCAGGGCACCTGGGCCCTCCGGATGAGCAGCCCCTGTCTGTGGCAGGCCCCATGGGGCTGGAGCAGCCCCCCACCCAGAGCAGGTGGGGAGCTGCTCCAGCCCCCACTGGTTAACCGGACCCGGTAAGCATCACTTGTGAAGGGTGATACTTACCAGTAAACCTTTCACACCCCTAATTTGAACCTTCAAGATCTCTCTTTGCTCTCAGTTTGCAGTGGATTCCGCCCTATCCGTCTTCCCTCCTGCTATGATGCTGGCACTATGGGGATATCGGTGATTTCCCTGGGTTTTACCTTTCAATGTGGAGATACAGTATATCACAGGCAAATCCAAGAGAGCGCTAGCTAGTTCCTTCCTGAGCTTTTGCAGCCATTTTCCTCTTGCCTATAAGGATTTCTCCTGCACATCCATAAACAAGACAGAAGCAGGCAGTTAGGGGCTGTCATTTCTGAAACAAAACCCTTTTGTCAAATTCAGAGTATCCAAGGGGCAAAGATTCAGCCTGAATTGTTACTGGTTCCAAGTTGTTTCACCTTCCCCCGGCTCATCCCCTGACCCTCCGCTTCCCAAATTCAGCGGAAGGGCAGAGTTGAGTGTTGAGGACATGTTAACCCACAGAGAGAGCTGGACATTTTTACCTGGCCTGCACTATGCCCTATTAGTAGTTGTAACAATTTTCATGGGACAGATGTGTGCCAGTCAGGAAACATGGAGCCATGGGGGAGGGATAGCTCAGTGGTATGAGCATTGGCCTGCTAAACTCAGGGTTGTGAGTTCAATCCTTGAGGGGGCCATTTAGGGATCTGGGGCAAATCTGTCAGGGATAGTGCTTGGTCCTGCTGTGAAGGCAGTAGACTGGACTTGATGACCTCTCAAGGTCCCTTCCAGTTCTATGAGGTATATCTCCATATATTTATTTAACTGCACCAGGTAAGTATGGAGTGTCATCCTTTGAAAGAGAACAAATGACAAGAAACTACTGATCCCCCTCTTGAGAATCTGACCTTCAGATTAGAGAATCAGACCCCTCTTAGTTTTAGGGTGTGGGCTAAGCTAGTTAGCTGCGACCTCCGAGTTTACCTCCTCCATGCAGGCTGAGATGTTCCATCTGTGCGGGCTTTTGTGAACAGCAGCACAATCTGCATCAGCTGTCCATTTTATTCCAGATGTTGGCCTCTGGAGGCTGCTGCAGGAAGTGGGAAGGTGTGGCATCTGCAGGGCTCCCTCCAGAGCTCTGCAGAAGGGAAGTGGTTATGGAGAAGCTCTCCCACTCACAAGATTGTACCACAAAATTAAAAAAAAAAAAAAAAAATGGCTGTTGTCAGACCCCAGCCGTTGGCTTGCCCCAGAGCATGCTCTTTCTAACCTCGGAGGGAGGGAGAATCACTGTGACATGGCAGGCTTAGCTCCCCAAAGCTTTTCTGATGAAAAGGCTCTGTACGAGTCGGACACTGGACAGAAAGTTGACTGGGCTGCAGTAGGAATTAGTCCTTTTGCCCACTCGATGCTAATCCTTTGACGAAGGGCAAAGTGTCAACCACAGTTTAGCTCTTCAGGTAGAAGGAAACCCCTGTAGGAAATATCAGCTGGTGAACTGAAGTGATCTCCCGGATCCTCCAGGCATGTCACTGCTTTGTTTCCACCTAAACCTGGGCAAATCCAAGTCCAGACGGAATAATCTCTCCCTCCTCTTCCCCTGAAAAGAGCAGCTGTCCCTGAGCTGGTACCGAGGCACGGAGATGGGGTGGGAGGATACAATATACAGAGAGGACCGGCTGTCAGGGGAACAATCAAGGACATAGTGACGCAGCCCAATTAAACTGATGCCCAGCGATAGGGCTTAACCCTGTTAAACATTCTGCACAGAGCTGCAATGCTATTGTTTCGATCTAGTGCACGGTTGAAGCCTCTTCCAGCCTTCTCTCTGCCCTCCCTTCCGCCCCCAGGGTAGCTCCACTCGAAGCACAAGCTGCAGTGCAGTCCCAGTGAACTGAAGTTCACCTGTGTCACCCTGGGGTTGTACCATGCTCTTCAGTGGGGACTGGGTGATCTGAGCCGGCAGGCGGCTGGAAAGAATTGCTGCTTGTGCCTCCACGCTGCACCCAGAGAGCTCTGAGCCGGGAACACAGCCTCCCACCACTGCCGGGCAAAGCCGGGGAAGACAGCTCATTTTCTCTCTCGGAAGAGAGGAACCCAGAGAGTAGCCTCCTCCCAAAACCTTGAGCGCGCTGCTCAGAAGTCCCCCTCCTCCCCAGTCTTACTCAATTTAGGGTGTATCCTTCCTCGCACCCCGCATTGCTGGTTGGGTTGAGTGAGTGGGCTGGTAGGACTAATGGGGTGTGTCCCAGAGCTCACAAAACTGGTTCCTCGACTTCAGGGTCTGCCAGACCTTGCTGCCTTGATTTTGCCAAACATATTGGTGTTCCCTGGGGCATTTGGATAATTGAGCTTCATTACAAGCATCCTGTCACAGCAAGGTTGCCAGAGTTAGTTTCCACTGTACTTGATTACCATTTTAGAGAAACAGCCTTGCCAAGGAATTGGGGGGGAGGGTGTGAAATTACCAGGCCTGGTGATTTTGCATCTATTACACCTTCTCTTCCACCCTTCTCATTAAAGCTGCCGAGGGGTGAATCTCATCCCTCTATTCTGAAGCTGTGCACCGTGCTCTTTGGGGAATGGCATATGCACAGCAGGGCTTCAGTGCACTGTTTATCCACCCAAAGCCTTACTTAGAAGGTGGGTAGGCGCAGCTTGCTGTTTGGGAAGCCCATGGAATCCTAGTTATGGGTGTACAGACTCGTATTCCTGCTTTGCTTTGTTTCATGGCTATTTTGACTCCAGGCGCTCGTTTGTCAGACACAACGAGGTCATTGTGTCTTGTGCTAATTGTTCTGCGTCAGCCAATGTATGCACACAACTTGCATTGTCTAGGTGGGCTCTTCCTTGAGCTTAATGGGATGGCACATACCCAGCAGAAGTTTGTGGTTAAAATAAAATGTTTGGCTTAACTACACAGATTTTTCTCATCCCTCTTATTGCCAAGTTCCTTGAAGGGATTCGGAGTCCAATGGAGCCGTGCCAGGTGGAAATGAAGTAGCATCCCTCCTCCAGGAGAGTAAGAAGGCTCTTCACAGTACTTCCTGCCCATGCTCTTGTGGTGCTCTTGGGTCTTGCACCATTCCACCTCCGCCACATTGCTGATCATGACAGCCCCTTTGAGTTACAAAGATTCTGTCATGGCTGGAAAGCCCAAAGTTTGGCCTCCCTCGGATTTCTTCCAAAGACAATGTAACTCACTGGTTGGGTTGAAAAGAGCCCTTTG